GCCAGGATGCCATTGGCCTTCTTGGCCCCCTGGGCACACTGCTGGCTCATGTTCAGCTGCTGTCAGTCAACGCCTCCAGGTCCCTCTGACTGATTTTTAAAGCTCTATAACAGGAGATAGTTCCTAGAAAAGGCAGTGAAGTTTGCTTACAGCTCGGTACTTTTGAAAGTTGGGTCACTTATCCTGCTCCCTAAATAAGGACCCAGAAACCCAACTTGACCAGATAGAATGGTAATAGTCATAGTGCATCAAGATCTAAAAAGTAAAGAATTATTAGACTAACAAGCCCATTTACCCTGCATCCTTTAAACAGAATTGCTTTGCTGTTACTAGCATGATCTAATTGTTAAGTCATCCCTGCACATACCATAGGGTATGGTGGCAGTTTACAAGAAATCAGTGTAGAGATCGGAATACTGTATTCTTAACCCAGATTACCTAGCATAACCTAAATTCTCCTACTGAAGTATGTTGCACAGTTTATGAAGTTAAAAGAATGGATCCTCAGTTACCCAAGGCCAGCTTTGCCGCCTTTTGAGAGCTGCTCTCTGAACCTTTTGTAGACTGATGTGTGAGGAAGTAGTTAAGGCCTGATCCAAAGTAAATCACTATTCTCTTATCCAGACCATAAACCAACATGTTTTCAAGGCTTCATTTGAGAATCCTGTTTCTCTCTCTTCTCTTCAAGCATTGTCCTTCAGCTGTCACTTCCCCTTTTCTGTGAAAGGATAGGAACAACTTACTGGAACACAGTACTGGCAACCTCTCAAAGTCTTGATTGCGCTTTTTGGCTGCAACCCGAAATTTCCACGTGCTTCCCTGAATTTTGGGAGGTTGAACGTCTTGAATTTTTTTTTTTTTTCCTTTGCTTATTGGATGATTTCCAGTATTTTTCTCTGGGCAGAAGTGCCATAAACACAGGTTTTCTTAGTTTTCTGTTTCCTGCTCTCTTCCCTACTCCCAGAAACATAGATGTGTTTTAATTTTGGATAGCCATTGAAAGAAAGTGAAGCAATTTAGTGATCCAGGCTTGAAATCCCAGATTACCCTCCTCTGAGAAGCCAGGCTCCTTGTAGCTTGTTTTACCTCCCAGCAGCATTCCTTAACAGTCCACAATCAGCAGGAAGGAGAAAGAATGCCTTCACACCCAGTACCCAGCAGCTTTGTGCTTAGGATGCTGGAACTAGGGATTCATCCTTCTGGCAAGAGGACTGTACATTTACCTCTGGCCTTTATCAGAATATGTGGAATTTAAGCCTCTATATCTCTTCAAGAGGCAGAGTAGACACAGAGGTGCTTGCGTGGGGGCCCTGATCTCAGTGTCTGTTTAGACATATTCCCTTCCTTATCAGATGGCTCCAGGTGTCTTCTTACTGTACATTTACTTGTGTACAGATGTGTATATTCACTCTTTATAATATCTTTCTGTAGGCTTTTTGGCTTACCCTCTGCAGGACATGGGCAACATCCGTTTCTGCTAACCCTTCAGGATATATATCTGCCACATTTCTTGACCTCTCAAGAAGCATCATCTTTTCTACCTGGAAAAGTTGCCACACATTTGAGAAAACCATGTTTTTCTGGGAAGTTTGGTGACCTGGTCGGAACCTCTATGGAGCAATTCCCCATAGCTGCTGTATTCATTGCAGCAGGGAGGAGTGCAGAGGGGAATCGTGGACCTTGGAAACACTGGATTTGCTCTGTGCATTGCTGTAGATCTGGTGATTGCAGGAAGTCCAACAGACTCACTGTGCATGCACTTTGCATTAGCTTTGTGTTTATACAGTAAAGACGTGTCCTAGAAACACTGAGTTTATTCTGTCTCTGCTACTGAGCACACAAACACCTATTTCCCTTCTGGAAATGCCAGACAAAAGCACGGTGGCCTTGAAATAAGAGATGCAGCTGTGCTTCTCATTCAGGACAATTTTTTGCCCCTTCTCCACCCCCACCTCCCTTACAATTTTTCTTGTATGTATTTCTTAGGTAAAGCAGCTTCCTGACCATCCCTGATACACATATTCAAAGCTGTGAGGTACTTGGTACAATATAAGTGGAATCCAGTAGGAATCAATTCGACTTCATTAAAACCACTGTTCAGAATTGCTCCTCTTCACTTTAGGTAACAGTAACAGCAAAAATTATGAACTTGTTTTGTCCTACTTCCCTTTTTCCAGTTCTTTGTAACACATACAGCCCATTGCTTAACTTGTTCAACACTTTTAATATGTAAAGGGCTCTTTAAATGCCTAAAACTGGTACTGTACAGTGGTAGCTGAAGCTGCTGTAAAGATTGCTTAAAGTTAGTGATTATATTCTGGAAGGGCCTGTGCATATCCCAGGAATGGACTCCTGCTCTAACAACATGCAGTGTTGTGTTAGGTACAGTTTCTGGCCCAAAGAAATCACAGCCCAAGTAGACCAAGTAAGGGCACAGTAACAGAATATATAAGCAGTGTTCACAAATGTTATGATGACTTAAAGTGTGTTTACTTCTTAGTTCTTTAGGAGGGATTTGAACAGGCAGGGGTTAGTCAATGGGGAAGGCAGAAGCAGCAACAAGCTGGGGAAGGGGAGGCTCAAGATGGAAGAAAATGGAAGTTAGATTGACCGTGAGAAGCTACAGGGTTGAGGCTCTAGCAGGCATACCAAAAGGGGAGGTGGCGTAGAGGCATGGAAAGATCTATCCAGACCAGGGCAATAGCAGAAAATAGCTAAATAGTCCATAGATGTCATTAGCATGCAATGGAAGTGCACTGCTGAACTAGCTGTGGCTGCACAGGTCCTAACAGCTGGATGCACCGGAATTCCATTCTCCCCTCAAACCTTGAATGGCTTCAAGATCCTCCACTTGCAAAGGGTTCACTCCTCCTGCAGTTACGGATCTGGGGACTCCATCCTTATTTCCTTCTCTTATCCCAGTACTGTGTAGGAAATTGGGTTTCTATGATGTAATGAAATGCTCCCACTGTATTGAAGAGTAGCTTGCTGTCTAGTGCATGATATGTTGGAAGGGTTACGTGCTCAGTAGTTACAGAAAATGAGGTATTTTTTCTTTTTTTTTTTTTTCCTAAAGAACCACAACTATAGATTTAGTAACAAAATTCCAGGATTATTAGGTGGTTATGTAAATGTACTTACAGTACTTTATTTTTTGAAATGTGCAGGTTGTATCTTTGATCGCTCTGTTTGGTTTGCTAAGGTTTCTGCAATGCAAATAGGGAAAATGTCAGGCAAGAGTATTTTTACAGTTTATTTTTCTTTCTCCTCTGAAAGTCAAATGGTCTTTCCCATATATAGCTACTATGGTGGTTGAGGATTAATTCTGAGGGCTTTTGAGACTATACCTCTGATACATGCCGTGTTTTGAGAGGGATACCTTGTGCCGGTTGCCCTCTCAGGGCTATTCTTGTCCTTTGGTGTGGTAGCCTTTATTAAGGAGGAAGGATAAGTTCAGCCCTTGTGTTTAAATCATCAAAAATTTCCACTTCTGAGATTCTGAGAAAGCAAAAGGTGGGAGAGGAAAGTGAAAGGACAAACTAAATATCCCCATATGCACTGGCTACCTCCCATCTTTCTTTTTTCTGCAACTCAGTGCAACCTACAGCATAGTTCGATATTGGCTAGTCCGGCACCAATTAATCTTTATAAAGGTCTACTCCTTTTTTGAGAGCTCTGACAATGTAGAAAAAGGAGGGCAAGCTGTCTCCTTAGCCAAGAATCTTCCTGGAGAGACAAGGACTAGAAGTCTCTTAAGCCCTCTGGGATCAAGTTTCAAAGTCATTCTCCAGTCCTGATAGATTTGGGCAGAACTCTTAAAAACTTTATTAACTGTCGTCTTCTTTTTGTTTTTTCCCCTCTGAGTGTCTCCAACCCTATCTGACCATTACGTATGTCTTGCACGGATTTGCTCTGTCTTTGCACTTACGATTTAAATGTATTTGATATTTACTGTGGTAAACAAAACGTCATGAAGCCAAGCCTGTAGAAAGGAACTTTGATATTAAAGGAAGAGATTGGTGGATTGTCAGGTTTGCTAGCTAAACAGTGTTGGCAGCCCTCATTTTGGGTGTTTGTCCTTTGAATACTTGGTAAACTGAAGAGCATTATGATTCTGAAAGAATGAATCCTCCAGCCTGAAAAGTCTAATCATATGTTCAGAAAGGTATTGGTCTCTGTTTTCAACAGCAGGGGAAAATAACCATGATCTTGACAGCATCTGAGTTTCTTGAACCCCAGGGACATGTTCCTGTCCTCATCTTTCACTCACTGGCGGCTACCTCATGTAGCCATGGCAAACTGTAATAGAGATTTGCAAAGTCATAGACTTTTCACATATTCCCCTTCTTTTTGCTGCTTAAATAGCATGCCCATGTCTAGTGGTATGTCATCCTTTCACAGTTCCTAGCTTTATCCATCTGTTAAATTTTCTAAATTAGAGTCTTTACCGGAGTTCACAAGATTGACAGTGATTCCATTATTTGAGGGTATGTAACAGTTTTTGCAATTTTCTGTTGCTTGCAGGATGGCAGAAATGCTTCCTACCATACATAAGGAATTTTTTATTTTATAGATATATTTTATCTTTAATATAGGCTAGTGAATATGTTTGCACAATTTCCTTACTTGCAATTCTTAGGACTGAAAATAGTTTCATAAATAGTTTATATTCTATTTTTGTTTTCATGCACGTGCATTGGGAAGAGAAATAAAAGAGACAGAAATATTGTGTGAGCAGTAATTCTTGTCAGATGAGAAGTGGGAATGAATTGAGGAAAACCTCTGAGAGAGTCTAGTTTTGGTGAAAATTCTTGTTCAGTTAGAAGAGAAAAATATTCTGATAAAGAGATTTGCCTGCCCTTGACTTTCTTTAACACTCACAGCATATATTCCTGTATCACAGATTTTGGTGGGGTTTTATTTCATCCAAGAGTGTTCCATCTTTGAATTTTGGTCTTACTCTTTTCATGCTGTAACAGTTCTTTTCTGTTTTTTCACAGACTGTTTTTGAGAGGAACTGTCAATCTGATGACTGTGCTGCTGATTTGAAACTTCAGGGTAAATTATTGCTGTCTAGGTGAGTAGGTGAACTTGTTTTTTGGTTTTCTTTCTTTCTTACACGCTAGTATGCCATTCATTTTATGTAAGATGGCATTGAAAAATCAAAATACAAACACAGACATTTTATATGATGGATGTATGATGACAGTGATATCATTAGTGCAGAAAGGTTTTGAGAGGTATGCAGAATCTGAAATCTCCTGTGGTGGTGGGCTCTGTGCACATACAGGGCAAGACACCTTCACCTTCTCAATCACAACAGACAAAACTGAAGGAGAAGAAACAGTGTGGCAGAGAGGTGCAAGGAAAGTAAATATGCATGCCCAAATCAAGTATCCATGTAAACCATGTAATTTTTCAAAGATTATAAAATACTCATTATGACATAGGAGTAAAACTGCCTGCAGAAAAGCAGTTTTGTTCAGACAAAAAGTCACATAGAAAGTTAAAAAAACCCCTCACAGCATGGAAAATTATTTTCTTCAAATTATCTTTTTTCTGCTTCTGAACTTGTAGTATTGCTCACTCTCCTGAAATACTGCTCTTTGTCAGATTATTCTTGTTAGTAACTTGGGGAGGGATGTCTAATTTCACTTTCTTCCGGGATAATAAACCTCATCAAATAAAACATCCCGGTCTATGTTCTGTCCCTTGTGACTGGTGATCCTAGAAAAATTACTATTGTTTTGCCAGGATGTAGTTATTCAATTTCGGGATAAATCAGGCTAAAGGTGAACTTTACACATAACTTCTATTTCCTTTTTCTCAGCATTTTTAGAGATGGAAGTGCTGATGCGAGTTATTTAATTGTATGCCAGGGGGTTTGCTGTTTGATGGAGATGCTTTCTGTGGAAGTGCTTTGCTTTCAGGGCAGGAAAGAGAGGGGAAGAGACTCCCCTGATTTAGGAAAAAAAAAAAAAAAAAAAAAAAGCAAGAGGTAATAGTCAGGAGATACATATTTTATATAAGTCTATGGCATGCTGTAACTGTATTTGGAGATGAAACTGAACCAGAGTCAAGTCTGAGAAGTTACTGAATTCTCCAGACACGACTGAAGTCCACAAGAATGTTTAGGGGGATTGGTTGGAGGAGGGTTAGGTCTCAGGTTGCAGAGTCCGAGCTTTGACTGTGATTAGGCTGGAGTTTTGACCTTTTGCTGGATCTTCATCGTGAGCAAAATCTGCTGAGAGCTGGAGACATGTCTGTGTGGACTTAAGGAAGCCAGTGAGGGATTTTGTCCTGCAGTTGAGGAATAATCAGTGAAAAGTAAAGAACAAGTCCTAAAAACTTGTTAGTCAGCGTATAGTAATCACAGCAGAAAGAACTGTATTTGCAATTGGAGTATTAGACTGTTTGTTTTTATGGCTGTTATTTATATGATCTTGGCAATTTAAAAGCCACAACTGTCAAAAAAGCTTAGGATATTCAAATACAGTTTCTGTGTTTATAGAGCACAATGTTGAACAAATGCCCTCAAATCTTCTTTATCCAGTGACACTGAACTCCTGTTTGAAATAAACAGGATGTCGTCAAATACATCAAGTCTTCACAGAATAGGGGTTTTTTTTTAGCTATAGGGTGGTGTAAGATTCAGTTAAGAAACATAACACAATGGGTATCTCTAAAGAGAACGGATTTTTGTATTATTATCGTGCGTAAAACTACAAAAACATGCTATGGATTCTGATTTTAGAGAAGTGCCTCTCTTGAATATGGTAATTCTTCCAGCCCCATGTGTTTCATGCTAAAGAATTGTATCAGCATTTTTCCACATTATTCCTATTTATGCTAAGTCTGTGTACAAAGCTTTTTTCATAGAAAGAGCAAAAAAGGTGACTCATTTATTACTATCTGCACTAAACGATTGGCTTCATTGTTAGCAAGGTTATGGCAATGTCTTTGTCTAAATAATCATGTCTGACTACATTTGGTGGACTTACTGTTGGAAAGAATGCCATTAATGAGACACAGATACATTGAATTGAAATAAACAGGATGTTTACGGGAAGGCAGCAGTAAGTGCTATCTCTCAGACCTGCTGCAGTTTGAAGATGTCACTGGACATGTGGTTAGGGTGATCTGGTTAAGATCATCTACCTGAGCTTACAGAAGGCTTTTATTAAGATTTCTCATCAAAAGTTCTCAAAGTAAGTTGACAATGTCCGAGAGGAATGATGCCTGAGCATTGCTACCTAATTAAAAGGTAGTCAGCAGAGAAGAGTAAATAGTTTGTTTTCCTGGTGGAAAATATTCCACAAGTGCTTCTGCTGGGGCCAGTGGTATTCAGCGTATTCATAAATGATCAGGGAAATAATATGCTAAAAATTAATCACAAGCTGAGAAAGTTTGCTAATCATACTAAACTGTTCAGAGAAATGAAAAGAACAACCAAGGAGGTATGTTTTCATGAAGTGTGTGATTAATCTGTGGATTGTCATGTTGAGGATGTTGTAAATGTTGAGTGTTTACATGGCAGAGAAACGGCAAATATGAATGCTGGAAGCTGCAGACATATATCAGCAAAATAACACTCTGCACTTGCCTTGTTCTTCCATAGGCCTCTTGCTTTTAGACATGGTTGGATACAGGGCAATCTGATAGATGAACCAACTTGGTCTGGCTGTTTTTACACACTTTTCATGAATTTGTAACACGTTAGAGCCAAAAGCTGTGCAGAGCGCTATATATTGTAAGGTATAGTCTTGTCCATCACTATATACAATATGCTTTCAAATGTGTGCTGGTTAGAGCGTATGTGTGCGTAGGAAGTTAGCTCAGATTACATTATCATCAAGAGAATTTCTTGCTGAGGTCACTCTTATGAGTTCAGGCACTGCACAAGCTACTCAGATTTAGAGTTCACCTGGGATGCGTTTGGATCACTAGAATTACTCAGTTAAAAGATTACACCCAGCTTTGAAGATGCCAAACACACATACCAAATGACTGATAGGAAAACCAGCCCCTGCTGGCAAGAGCTAACCAGGTCTGCTCCGATTTTGCTTTTCCTGCAGTCCTCCTCATCTTCTGAATACTTACTCATGGTTCCTCAAATTGGGAGCACTGCACTTTGATAAATAACAAATAGCCCAGGATGTTAACATCGGTCTAGGTAATGACCTAATATATATCCAAAGGGCTCTGGGAAAAAAAAAAAAAAGTTTTGTTTTCAGTTAACAGATGAATCTCTTTAAGGCTGGTTCACCTTCATTAGCATCAGTTTTTTTGTAAAAATGTAAACCCATCCCAGCTTCCTGAAGGGATTCTGGAATGAAGGAGCCAAACTCTTCCTGCTTGTGGCAGACTGCAAGAGGGGCTAGAGTAATGGACTGTGGTTTGGCAGGTTCGGACCAGGGATTTGGAAAAACCTTCTCGTGTAGGCAGTTTGTGCTGCACGAGAATGAAGTGTGCAGAGAGGGTGTACTCTGCCATCCTGGGTTTCAGGACTTGGCTAAATAAAGTCCCTGCTGACCCCATCTGTTGGAGGAGGTCGAGGATGGATTATATGACCTCTAGAAATCCCTTCCAACCAACTTTTCTGCAGTTTTCTGACTTATCTCTAAGTAAATCCTCTCTGTAACCCGAGCAAAATTGCCTCAATGACCACCAGCTATACACCAACATGGAAACACCTGTCTAGGATGGTTGGGAGTGTCTTCCATCGCTCTGGCTGGAAACCTGCCTGCGGAGCTCCTTGCCTCTCACTGCTGCCACCTCTGCCAGTGAGAACATGGAGCTTCACAAGAGATGACAGTAATATTGAAGGCTGGACCTGGCAGAGCAAACTGTGGGGATTTAACTTTCTATGGCAGACCGACATTACGAGATAGTATGTAGAAACAGCTGCAGTGGTGTGTGCTAGTATTACTACAAATGGTCTTTTTAGTGGTTGACCTGGACTTACCCATAGAAGTATAAGTGTTGCTAGGCTGAAACTACAGATGGCAGCTTAAGAGTAAGGGAGAAGGAGCCATGGAGCGTGCTTGGGACTTGGCGAAGGCAGTGTTGGGAGAAACTGAAGGAGCAGAAGAGACGTTTCATCTTTCCAGTCGTGACTGTTTTTGATTCCATTTTTCTTAAAGAATAAACGTGAGGTTTTGGCAGCACAGAGCAGAGAGACTACTCATTGCATCCCCTTCAAAGAGTCTCCAGTGTTAAATCTTGCAGCTGTCATAGGAGATAGCAAAATCTGGCCCTATCTGTGCAGTAACACCCTGTGTTGGGACTGAGGGCATGGGGATTTCGAAAGGAAGAGACTTAAATGTATCTTAGTGTAAAGAAGGTATTTATATGTTGCAAATGAGTAACTTTAATGACACAACCTGAAACCATAAGAGAAATAGGAATAGAATATTTTGCAGTAAACTTTATAGCTATAGCTTTGGGTCAGCAATAGGAAACCTCCTTTCCAACAATCTAGTACTGAAAAGCAAAATGCCATTTTGGTTTCTGTTAGCTATTATTTTCAAAGTGTTTAATATTAAAAATATATTTATTATGTATTATGCTTGACTTCAATGCCTCACTCTTTTTTGTCAGCACAGCAAATGTCTTTTCCATCAGGTTTCTGTAGCAAATAGCACATTTTTATTGAACCTCTCCATAGCTACTTATTTAGAAGCAGAACTGCATCTGTTTCCTCAAGATGTGCTGGGGGAGACTCTGAAGTAAGTGTTCTGTAGAAGATTAGACCTCCCTAGCCTTTAAAATCTGTTAATCCATTCTTCTGGTACTTTATATGGGAGAAAAGCACTCTGTTTTTTTAAGAAGAACCTGAAAGTGATGAGGGAGCAGGACTGGCAGGAACACACATCTTGTCTGACGTACCAGGGTAGTTTCAGGTCCTGAACTGATGCCTGTCCATCTGATTGGCACTCTGTGAAGGCAGCAGTAGTTATCAAGTTCTCTTTAGGCTGTAATTGTAACAAAGTGAAAACCGTGGAGAAGACTTTTGAGTAACAGCGAGAGTGTTTGAGAAAAACAGAGTTTATTCCAGCTATAATAAACAAACCAGCT